ACGTTACCGAGGCACCGATACATCCACTCCAATTAACTGTACGGCCGTGTAATGTTTGCAAAGTATCCAGCACGGGCGTAGAAATTTTTATCGCGAGCGTTCGCGCCACTCGAACCGCGAAAATTAAACAATGCATCCTTGGCCGAATAAAGACCCGTTCGTATCGGTTTCAGGCTCCAGCGGGTTTCGATCGCGCGATCGAAAGTGTTCTCTCGCTGCAGGGTTTCGTGAATCGGGATGCATTTGCCCCTGCAAAACGGGCCACTAAACTTTTACCTCATTGTGATATACGACCCTCGTTCCACGCCCTCCTTCCTCTCTTCTCTTTCGCGTCGAACTTCGCCCCCACCGACTCCCGTCCTTCTTTGGCCGGGCGTCTCCTTCCTGTTTCCCTCCTCCACGAAACTGTCCTCGCTTTAGTCTCGTTTCTCTTCCACGGGGCAAGAATCAACCGCGAACTTCTTAACGAACGCCTATTCGGCTATTTAAAAGCGAGGACCGCTCCAACAACTTCGCGGATCGCATTTATGCGAAACACTCGTAAAAAGTTTCGTATTATGGATCTTAATTGTGTCACGCATGGAGACTCGGAGAGCAAAATTAATACGTCGAAAATTTGAATAGATTCTCACGTGCATTACTCGATCGTCCTTGTCTGATCGCGAACTCTTATTCTACTAGCTTGGGGACTATTGAATCGTTCAAAAACTATACAATTTTTGATTATCATGTTCTACGCTAATGGGGCTTCCTGTTGATCGAATAAATAAATAAGTAAATAAATAATCGTAGCTTGCATCTCGTAAGATTGGGTCCGAAGGGTTTTGGCGCGACTCTGTGCGTCCTCCGTTTGACAGACACTTTCTCCCACCGTCTCCCACAGTTCTTTTCCCTTTTATCGAGCGTTTTTCCCTTCGACCGAACGTCTCACTCTCGTAATGCCCATACGACTGGTTTCGTTACCGCGCGACCAACTTCCGGATACGAGATTAGTTACATAACAGGTTCTGGGACTTGGAAATAAGTTATTTAACAGCGGCACGCGGATCGGCGTACGCGTACTGCATTATTTACACGACCGTGTTGTCTCGGGGCGACTCGGCGCGTTCTCGATTCTCAAACGTGGGATCGTTTCGGCATTCGATAATAATGTTTGCCCGACAATACGCGCGGAACGGATGCAAACAAAAATACCAGCCACAGGCCAGCCTGGAGCTGACCCAGCTTCGTCTTGTAATCGTAAATGGAGGCCATTCGGGGGATGGGATGTTCCCTGAAAAGTAATTTTTTGTATAATACAAAAGATATCTGTAGTCGACTGAATCTCCCAGGAAATTTGTATGCTAGGAAAGCAGGTGACAGAGCCTTCCGGTGTTTCCCAAGAAGCGAAACGATCCTCGAAAGTCCAACTTGGACGAGCGACCATAGTCGCTGAGCTACCGATACGGTGTTGACTACAGCAGTGGAACCTGTCGCGCGTCACTTCTCTGGTCAAAGTCAAGGTTTGCCCGTCAAATTCTGGCCACGCTAACGAGCCGGGAGTTTGGTAACCAGTGTCGTAACCGTTTCGTCGCGGTCGCATTCGGAGACTCAAAGACCTACCTAAGGAACTTGCTTGTCGAATAATTTCTCGCTTCCGCCAAGAATCATTATATATTTTATTCGCTCACAAGGGCAACGCAGGTAAAATACAGCGCCTTGCAAAAATTTTTCACGGTTTATATTCGAGAGAAAATATTCATCGTCCGAGCAACGAATGCAAACCGTATTAGCGTTTTAATTTACCCAAAAATAATTAGCACCCGTTGCATCCAGGCGACGGCACGGCCCTGCGGAGAACGGGAACCGGGCGAGGATGAATGAAAATGGCCGATCGCGCGGCTGGTGAATGAGGGGGAGATCGAGAGGAAAGAAAAAGGGTCGGTGTGTACGTTGGCGGTGATTTTCGCGCGGTTGCTCGCGAATCCAGGCTTCTCGGTCAACCGTGGTGGAAAAGGGGGGTGATTATTTTCCAGGAACGCGCGCGCTCCCGCATTTTCTTAGCCCCGCGTTCAGAGACGCGCTCCTTTGTTCCACGCGGAGAAGTTTTCCCCGGCGTAATGCTTCCGCTCTCGCGGCGAAGAAACAAGAAGAACGAATACTTGTTCTTTCCAGGCTGTTTGGGCTCCCGCGTCCGACTTTCCCCGGCGAAAAAATGGAGCAAGTCGTTGCTCGGTTTCGAGGGGGAATAAAGTCGGTGGGTTCTTTCGTCCCGCGGAGATTGCTCTTCTTTCTGACCGTCTGTCCTCCGGTATTCCTAACATGCGCGGCGCTCTGTTGGCACTGTCGTTCGCCGGGTACCGTTAATCTTGGCTACAATAGCCGAGAGGAACCTTGGATCGCGCGAAAACGAGCTCGGGGATTCCCCGACGACGCGGATCGCTTCGAACCGTCGCTAGCGTCGCCAACGATCGGCCGTCAGCCGAGTGACAGATGTGCCCCTTCGAGGTCTAACTTGGCGACGTTAAATCGACAGGTGTTTTACTTTTTTTTTTTTCGCAAGATCGACGTAGAACTTGCGAAGGACGCTGACACCGTCTACAGTCGAGGACACCTGTTGTGCAACGTCTTCAGACTTTCAGATTTATGTATTTCCCCTTTTGTCGCTGGGTTTATTAAAGAATTAGATCTCGACTCTTACGTGAGCAACCAAAATGGAGCGATAATTTCATATTCTATATCGTACCCGTTCAGTAGCGCTCAGGCGTGTCACGGTGGTTAGAGATTTTTCGCGAACCATTTTGATTTATTATTTTGTGGTCTGATCTTTCGATCGGTGGTCCAGCCGGAGTCGATCCTTATCGTCGACCGTTGGAATTTAATTTTCCAGCGACGTCAGCGTCGCCCGGACCGATACGAATCGGCGGTCGGGTATCAATCGGAGTATTGTCTCGCGGTTCCTCGGGACGGTGGCACGTCGACCTATCAGAATTTTCCATCTACGGGATCGACAATCCGGTTAGATTAGCGCTATCGGTCGTGGCTGTTTCTCCGCAGGACGGGATATACTGGTTTCTAATCAGAACATTTAAAAAAGGAACACGTCCGTTCGCTGTGACAAACCGACCGCGTATCTGCGTACCGTGAACCACGGAACCGGCCGTTCGCTCGTGTCCCATATTCCGTGAAACCAGTTGAACTGGTGTGGCAGTTGTCGAACAAGCGCGTTTCAGCGTTTACGTCGATCCACGAGCAGTCGAACCGTGGATTTTCTGTACAGCGAATTTACGACGCGGCGACTGACGGACGGCACGCTGCCCGGCTCGAAGACGCCCCCGATCCAAAGCTTTCGGCCTATCATCGATCGTAAAACAGAGCGAATTCCTCGAAAGAAACTCGAGGATCCTAATAACCGACGAGATGGCCGATTGGAAGATTTTCCCTTGGAGGAAATTGTTTCCTTCCAATCTTCGACGATGCGTCTATCGGTCGAAACAGAGACAAAAGATCGAGCGCTTAAAAGAATTGTTAAAAGAGCGCCGAAAGTATACGAAACTTGATGAAATATCTAGAAGGAGGTGCGATATTTTTCGATGGACTCGTTAATAGCGAAAGGGGTAAATAAGTAAACGGTCGAGCGTCATTAACGGCGGCAAAGCGTCGTTTTTGAGGATCGTGGTGCGTGGTGCGGCAATTCTACGGTGAAATATTCATGGCGTTTCCCCGTCGTCCGTGGAAAGCCTTCCGCGGAGTAATTTTCCGTGCGGCCGCTATTAACGAAACGCCTCGTTCGTTGCGCCCTTAGCGGCCGGCTAAATTGCCTATAATGTGGACACGTTGGAAAATTCAGTCGTCGTCCGCGCCAGGCCGACAATTTGCACTGGACGGTGTCCCCTTCTGCGCCGTAGAAATAATTCATTTAGAAAACGAGGCCCCGCCGAATTTCCGATGCGCTGTTTGCCCTGGCTCGCGAAACGCGCGATAACCCTTTTATCGTCGCGGACTCGCGCACACAGGGAGTTCGTTTGCCCGCGAATTGGCCCGTGTTGCGTGACCAAACATCGCTCCGCCAAAGCCAGGACGATTTTTCGATGAAATATCTCTCCTAACGGACTCACTTTTTTCTCTGTCAGCTTTGTCAAACACTTCCCTACGCTACAATCGCTTGTATACCCTTATTAACATCCTCTGGTCAAACGAGCTTGCGTTCCAAAGAAATCGATATACGGGTTTGACATTGATGTTTCGGTTGGAAGATATCTAACGTTGAAGCTTGAGAAGGGTTCAGGTATTTTTTGCAACAGTGGTGTAGTAAAGTTCTCCCTTTCAAGGAGTGCTGTTTAAATGGCGCTGACTCTGGCCCCAGCCAGGGCTCTTAAAGAGATTATAGCAGTTCAACCGAGTATTTTCAATATGAAACCTCACACAGTATGACAATAGCACGAAACGTAACGGCAACTCAAGGCGAGTAGGAAGCTGCGAGAACGAGGCAGAGACCGGGTAGAGACTACCTGCTGTATCTTTTCTTTTATCTACCGGTCGCCCTTTTAATGCCACTTCGAGCGAAGGGTATATTCGATTACAATAGCTTTTACAACCCTTTTACCCGACGATACCTCATCGGGCACGTACAGTCCTTCGTTTGAGGAATTATGTAGTAAAATAACTCGAAGGCATTGTCAATTTTTAAGAGATTAAACGCTCAACGAAAATTGAAAGCAGAAATAAATTATAGCAACATTACAGAGTCTCAAGGGTTAAAAAGATTTTCTCATGAAAGGGATGCGGGGGTGCTGGTCTTAAAATAAATCTGCATTGCAACGTTCTTGCTAAAATCCCCAAAAATTAGGGCCATCATTGTTTTCTATCCAACCAGTTCGAAGTTTGGGTGTCCGGGTACCCCGGTTTTCGAAGAACCTAGCGACTATTTTGGTTAAATGTAGGGAATCGGTTTTCTATCCGGGCAGTTGGAAGTTTGGTTGTCCAGGTACCCAGCTCACGCATCCGTTTGCCTTTTCCAGATGCCTCGTCCTCGAACGAAGCCGTGCACTTACAGCAGCGTCTGAGGAGCCTGAGCACGGAGCTGGTGACCCTAAGGAACCGGCTGCACGTCAGCCAGCCGCCGAACAATTCAGGGCAGAACGGCGGCTCGTCGGCGCCCCTGTCGAAGAGCCCGGAAAAGGGTGGCGTGCCGTCCTCCCCCGCGCCCGCCGTGCCGCCCAGGACCACGCTGCCGCTCGCCAACACGTTGCCCCACGGCCTCGGTCATCCTTCGGGGCACACGTTGACGGCGTCCGCGATCGTTCATCCGCACGTGAATCACGCCGGCGCGAACACGCTCGGCCACAACTCGACCGCAGCTAATAATTTAATATCTGGTCAGTATGCTGCAACACATACACCCTGCGTTGCAGGGGTGAGACATCGGAGACACGGGGGGTGGCCGAGAGACGGTCCACGACAGCGGTAAGCCACGCTCCCGCGTTCGCCAACGACGCCTCGATTTATGGAAACACCAACAGCGTGAACGTGGCTTTACGCTGGGCCCTTTTCCCATGCAAACGACTTTCGATCCCAACCACCCTTTGGCATGGTAGCCTCTTGAAGCTATTCTCGGGTCTGTTCAACCCTTTCTGGCATTTTATATACACAACACAGACGTATAATGGTGCTCGTCTATATCGGGCCCTAATCTTATTGGCAATTATTGTCGATAATATTCGAAGGCTATAACAGCCTAGCGAACTCCAAATTGAAAACAATGTCCGCTTCTGATCTCTTCGACCGTTATTATCCGATATTCGCGAATTAACGGGGAACACCGTCGTCGAAGAGTTTTTAATCGGCGACGCGTTGGAGCGCGATTACCGCGAATTAAACCGTACCATCCCCGTAGATCCACGTGCACGGCGAACATCCGTCTGGCACGGTCGAGGTTGTTAATATTTAAACGACGCGTAATATCGTCATTGCGGCGTTAATTCGCGATACGCCCGCGCGTTTCAGGAAACGGTGACCGCGCGGAAGGGCGGCGGCAGGGCTTTCGACCGTGAATGATATTTTAAATAACCGGGACCGGGCGAGCGATTTCTCCGCAAAATCATCGGAACGGTAAACACGGCTGTTTACGCAGCGGCTATTTCCCCTACTCCCTTTCATGTTCCCAAACGTTTTATGATTTATTTACCATTTTTACTCGAGTATTTATCATTGCTTTTATTTAGTCTAGTCCAGGAACGATATAAAAAACTGAAAAAGAAGCGTTTTCGTAATGTTGCAGTTGCACCAGCGTATTTTCATAGATAGATCTACGAACGTTTGAAAATTGCAAAAACCTCGAGACATTTACCGGTGTCACAGAGGGTCGAGGACCGTCAAAAATCGAAACGATTACGTTTTTTTTTTTCATCTACGTAAACGTATGCTTGCCCAAAACTAGATTATCTAGTTTTTTCCATTTATCTATGCAACGGAAGCATTTACATTTATATGAATTTCGATAGAAAGGGGGGAAAATATTCAGCGAACGATTCGTAGCTCGCTCTAGGTCGGATCGCCCCGTGCTATTCCGTGGGCGGCAGGGGAATAAAATTATTTGCGAGCAGCCAAAGCGGCTCGTTCCCTCGATACGCTCTGTCTGATCTCTAATTCCTTCCAGTTAATCGAGCCGCGGTCAGCGTTTCGACCGGGCGAATTGCTCGCGCGTGTAGTTTCACCGCGGTTCCCTTTCAATTCGCTCGAGACCGCCGTTATCCTTTAATCGTCTATTTTTTTCGAACCCCGGAAAATTACCCGGGGAATATTTTGCGGTGCTTGGAAGTACACGGGGACGGGTTTTCTGCGCAGATTTGGATTCCCCGAAGCGCCATAATGGAATCCCCGACGACGGGATAGTGTCGTGCGTGACGGCTCTGGGCTGTTTGCGATCGCCGCCGATCTCCAGCATCATCGCCGACGTGAAGAACGCGAAAAGCAACCAGGGCCAGCATCGATGTCTCCCGAAAGGCACCACGGCCACTTCCGGGCCCGCCAGCTCCACGGCCTTGGACGACCTCATTCATCTACCAGGCCCCCTCACGGAGGACGCGGTCCTCAAGTGTCTGCAAGCTCGATTTTGCGCCAAACAGTACCACGTGAGTACCATCTACTCAACATTTAATCAGTATTCATTTTAAACAACACGAATTTCCATGAAGATTCTTCTATCGATCCTCCAGAATTTACAGATCTTTCGTCAAGCGTAAAGCATAAGCATTACAGGCGATTCGGTGCAGAGAATACGTTTGTAGACCTAATAAATAATATCGAAGCTGTCGAGGCGCCGTTAATCCGCAGACGTCTCGGAGACTGGATAATTTTTCGGAGAAACTTGGGGGAACCGCGAAAGCTCGACGCGTCTCGAGAGGGGGAGGCAGATCGAGGCGACCAGGAAATGCTTTCAAGCGGGGATGGAGGACGATCGCGAGTTCCGTGTCCCCGTGAAATTTCGCTGGGATCGAGCCCGTCCGCGTTCCCTCGATCGTCTCCGCGTTAAATCGTCGGGCGCATCAATCACTCGGGGCCTCGATAGTGACGCGGAGCGTGTAGCTCGACGCCTCGCGCGGACACGATAAGTTTCGCGGTGCTTCTAATTGAGATGAATGCCCGATTTGCCACGAGCCCGGACGATTCGAGATTCCCGCGCGAGATACGTCCGACGCGGTATTTAACGGGAGACACCTCCGAACGATAAATTAAGACGCGACTCGTCGACGCTTTTTGCCTCGTTGGATTCGACAATGGGTAATCGGGGGACGCAATTTTTCCCTCCCCTCTGAACGTGTCAATAGGGATCCTAATAGGAGGCTTTGTAATTGCGTTCGCGGTGGGCGAACAGTTCTCGATTGGACTCGCGATAGACGACATAATTAGCCGCGGTATATACGAGCGGCCGAGAGGAGCAAAGTACAGGGCGAAAGATAATCAGGGAACTTTCCAGCTCGAAACTTCGAGCCTATCGAACAAGTTTAAAAGTCGAGGGCCTCTTCGCGTGCTCGACAACCAGAATGCGTAGTTGAACGTCCGTAATGGCCGTTTCTTATCTCATCATCCTGAACATAGTATTTACTTATGGGTCGGAGTTCCTTTTGTACACAAACGATGCGTGGAAAGAAAAATATTACAAACACGGTTTGCTTTCACTGCAACGAAGCATGCGTGGAAAACATAATCCGGTACACATAAAATTGTGGGATAGTGAAAGTTGCGGAGGAGTACTGGAAAAACGTGAAATCCGTCATTGTCTCGACTGTGGTTTATACAACGAACACAAATGTATTTGCAAATTTTTTATTCATTATCATAGTTTTCTTTTACATTTTGGTAATTCTAGGACTTCCTCGTACGTTTCGGTCTATTGCTATTGCATCGGGAGTATTTTCTTGAACCGAGCCATTAAGAATTCACCCTGTCTCTTCGGTTCGCGTGGCGTCGCCCGCAGGTGGCACGCTCGCATTCCATTATCGTGTTCTGCGTTTTAATTCCTTTCCGGCATACCTTAACGCGTGCCTCTTTTCCGGTTCTCCGGTAGCCGTTCGTTAGGCTCTGGTTTCCGATCGATTCCGGGACCTTTCGAATCTGAATCGCGATCTCGGGGCGGAGGACGTGCCCCCCCGGACGGTATCAAAGCGACAATTAAGAATCGTTAAAACTTTTGTCCTTGAATCGTACACGAAATCCCGGGTGAAAGGAGACGCGTCGGACGCTATCGAAGCCGATTAAGAGCGATTGAAGTTTCTTTTTCCCTCGTTCCGCGTCGATTACTGGTGTTCGTCTTTCAAGGTAAGTACGCTCGGTTGTCGGATTTAACGAGGCCCCGCCGAACGAGGAACGCGAAGAGCCAGCGAAAATTCTCCCCCTTTTAGCCAGGAGACACTCCGCTCCGAAGCTGACGGAGAAATCAGGAGTTTCTCAATAGGTAGTTTAAACGAGGGGAAACCGAGACGAGAAGAAAGGGAACGCCTCGGGTGAAAAAGTCGATAGTCTCCGTGTGACCGCGGACAGATATCGCGCTGGCTTGATTGGATCGGGCTACGCGAACAATCCTGATGGACGCAAAAAGGGTCTCGTTTCCGTCCTTGAATCAGCTGGAGCAATTAGTTTCGACGGGGGGAACCCGTTACGGAGTTTCAGCGCGGTATTTTCCGCGCGACCCGAGTGTCCCGTTTTTAATGACGGACCAACGGACGCCATTGAACGACGCGGAGCCTCGAAAGGAAACAGACCACGGATCAGATAAGATCGCGTTATCGAAATCGTTCATTTTTTTCCCGCCAATCGATCGACTCCGTTCCTCCCTTCCGGCCACGTAACGTCGATCCTGCCCGATCTTCGGACACGGATACGCGCAGCTGCGTAGATCGATTTCTCGTTCGTCCCTGTCTCCATCCGTGTTTTTCTTCTGTCAAGTTTACCATTCCTGTTTCCACTCCCTCGCCTCCACCGCTCTGTCTCCTTGTATTTCTTTTTCCTTCGACCTTCTCCGGGCCCCGTCTCTTTTCCGCCTCGGTTCTCCTTTTCTGACGCGTTAGGTGCACTATCGGTAGCGACGGCCTCGACGCGCGTCTACTCCGATCAAAGAAGATTTCAACTTTTACTCGCTGCTCACCAATTACATCGATCTCATTTTAATCATAGTCACGACTCCGTATTCCCAAGTTTACCGATAAGCAATATATGCAACCATTCGCCATTCGATATAGGTGCAACGCATTTTATTTTGAGATTCAGTTAATTCCCCTTATCTGAAACGCACTTTACACGATCGGGGACCTCAGCTATCGAGCCTCGCAATTAAATCGTAATCGTTGAAATTAGCTCGACCAGTTTAAAGACCAGCGCAAACAACATCGAATGCGATTCCGCGCAATCGGGTATGCCCTCGGTAAACAAATCCAAAGGACCGGTGGCGCGAGTTGCTCGAAACGCACGGACCGGAGAGGATCGAGGGCCCATCGCTAGCCACGGGCCCTGACATGGGACCGGTTCTCTCTCTCCCCACTTACCTTTCGGGCGTTGTTCACCTTTTTGTTCGTCCTCCGGCGCGTTGCTTTCTCTAGGTGGGCTTCTAATAGGAACCAAGGCCCGCCAAAGCCTCGCCGCTCGTAGCCTGTTGCACCACCCTCTGCTCTTTGCCTCCTTCGTCTTCTCCTTCGCCTCTCCCTGTCCTCTCCCCTCCAGTTTCCGTTTCTTGGTCGCCCCGACTGTCCTGATTTCTAAGTCTCCGTCGCTCCACGGCTCGAGGCTTCCTTTTATCCCTCTCCTGGGACGTTATTGGAGGAAGCTGCGGTCTGCGGATGGCGCGAAGTGAAACATCAGCCGGGCGATGCTTCTTCGGGAACGTTTGTCCGGGAATTGCCCCGGCGATTTCAACGCGTACGAGGCCGAGGATCGATTCGTCGTCCGTGGCGAACGCTGCTCACAGGATACTCCTTCCTAGAAAATTGATTCCTGACGGACCGTGGCTCGTGCATTAATAGGGAAGAGTCGCCATCTTGATACTCCGGTATTACTTAGCTCGAGCACCTCGGAGCACGCGATCTACGGCCATGCTAATCCCATACCGATCAACCAATTTTTTCAATATCAATTCCTGCCTTTTTTAATTCAATCTTTCCCCCCGTTTATTATAATTTCAGACGAACGTGGGCCCGATTCTGGTCTGCATCAACCCTTACACGGACGTCGGGAACCCGCTGACCCTAACGAGCACCAGGGCCGTACCGTTGGCGCCGCAGTTGAACAAGGTTGTCCAGGAGGCTGTGCGACAGCAATCGGAGACCGGCTACCCTCAAGCCATAATTCTTTCCGGTAAACTATCATTGGCTCTCTGTCCGGGGAAATCGAAGGAAACGTTATCTGTTTGCTTCAGGGACGAGCGGCTCGGGGAAGACGTACGCCTCTATGCTGTTACTCAGGCAGTTGTTCGATGTCGCCGGAGGTGGTCCAGAGACCGACGCCTTCAAACATTTGGCGGCGGCCTTCACGGTCCTCAGGTCCCTCGGATCGGCCAAGACCGCCACCAATTCGGAGAGTTCTAGGATAGTACGTAACAGATACATTTGTATTTTCTACGAGCTTCCGTCTCGACGAGGAACTTAACCGACCTCTGCCTGTTCAGGGTCACTTTATCGAGGTCCAGGTGACGGACGGGGCTTTGTACAGAACCAAGATACATTGTTACTTCTTGGACCAGACGCGGGTCATCAGGCCCCTGCCCGACGAGAAGAACTACCACATATTTTACCAAATGTTAGCCGGCTTGTCGCACGAGGAACGAGGTAGAGAAATTCGACTATAACGATCGACGATCGCGCGGCGCGCGGCTGAACTTGATTCGATCGTGTTTTGCTCGACAGTGAAACTTAATTTGGAGGGTTACAATCTGAAGAATCTAAGGTACCTCCAGCAGGGTGACACCAGGCAGGACGAAGCCGAGGACGCCATCAGGTTTCAGGCGTGGAAGGCTTGTCTGGGTACGTACCTACGCATTCACCTTCCCTAGTCTCGAAAACGATTCCATACAGATGCATCGATCCAGAGGCGTGAAATTCTCTCCTCGCGGTCAAGACGGTTTCTATACACCCTGTACAATCCATCGAGAACTTTTTCGCAGGCGTGCTGGGTATACCTTTCTTGGACGTGGTCAGGGTCCTCGCGGCGGTGCTGATCCTGGGCAACGTGGGTTTCACGGATCGGCCTGGCGTGGAGGTCGGCGTGATCGGGGAGAACGAGTTGGCCTCGGTGGCAGCCCTCCTAGGCGTTCCTCCGCCGGCCCTGCTCAGGGGCCTCACCTCGAGGACCCACAACGCCCGCGGGCAGCTGGTCAAGTCCGTCTGCGACGCGAATATGGTACTGTGTCACTCGTTACGCGCAATCTGACCCACTGACACGCCTGTCGGACCGCAACCACGTTGAAGGGTGTTTGTTTATACAGTCTAACATGACCAGGGACTCGCTGGCGAAAGCGCTCTACTGCCGCACCGTGGCCACGATCGTCAGGAGAGCGAACAGCTTGAAGAGATTAGGCTCCACCCTCGGCACGCTATCGTCCGACTCGAACGAGTCCGTTCACAATCAGGCAGAGGTGACCAGTCAGCATGCCTCGACTATCGGGAGCTCTGCAGGCAAGTATACGAGGATCGCGTGGCTCCGCTATAGTTGTTTACTCGAAGATTAGGGACCTCCTCGGGATTACCCAGCTCAGACTCGGATTCCCGATTCCGTTCATTCTGGACAATCTCGGTCGCTGGAGTTAATAGCGATTACCTGACGATCCACGTCCCCTCGTTTCGGGCTGTTTTGATCCGGAGGACTGAAATTTACCTTATCCTCTTCTACGCGAGAATCTAGATTTATAATAAATTCCGCGCGTAAACAAACGAGTGTGCGCGAAGATTCCAGAATTCCTCCCACGTTCCCGGACGGGAAATCGGGATTATTCTCGACCCTCCCGCCCCCCCGTAATCGGTCTTTTGGTCTACAAATCTCGGTTGTGTGTCGCGTCCAGGCGGCACCGGTTCCAGAAGCATGACCGCGCTGAACAATGCCGTGAGACACGCGACGGACGGTTTCATCGGCATCCTGGACATGTTCGGGTTCGAGGACCCGAAACCCAGCCAGCTGGAGCACCTGTGCATCAATCTATGCGCGGAGACGATGCAACATTTCTACAACACCCACATATTCAAAAGCTCGATCGAGAGCTGTCGCGACGAGGGTATACGGTGCGACGTGGAGGTCGATTACGTAGACAACGTGCCGTGCATCGATCTCATTTCCTCCCTGGTGAGTCGTACGGTCGGCCATTCCCGTCCCCCCCGTGGTCCTCGTTGCTAACCGTAATCGTTCGTTTCGTCCGCAGCGGACTGGGCTGCTGAGCATGCTGGACGTCGAGTGCTCGATACGCGGCACCGCCGAGAGCTACGTGGCTAAAGTCAAGGTCCAGCACAAACAGAACCCGCGACTCTTCGAGCCAAGGACCGTCGACTGCAGGTCTTTCGGGATCCAGCACTTCGCCGGCAGAGTCACTTACGACGCCTCGGACTTTCTCGGTGCGTCTACGATAGTTAAAAATAATCTTTTTTCAGAGGATTACGCTCTCACGAGTACTCGATCGATCTCCTATTCCTATATATACGATCCTCGACTGCCCATCGAATGTCCCTGTGTCTAAGGCAGCATATTCTCAACGATATACCGGAGTCCATCTAGATAAAAAATCGTTTCGTTCAAAGATACGAACAAGGACGTGGTGCCAGACGATTTGGTGGCGGTGTTCTACAAGCACACGTGCAGCTTCGGTTTCGCGACGCATTTGTTCGGGAGCGAGCTGAAGGCGCTGTACGCGAGCGACACCGTGCCCAGGGGCGTCAGCTTCAGAATATCTCCGACGTCTCACACGGACCTGTAAGAACTTCCGGTTTCGAGCGGCCGTGACGCGCGCGCGACTCCGGCGGACGACGATCGATGATGTTTGCCTGTGATTACAGTTTGAACGGGGACGAACCGATCTCCACGTTGACTCAGGACTTTCACACGAGGCTGGATAATCTCCTGAGAACTCTCGTCCATGCCAGACCCCACTTTGTCAGGTGCATTAGAAGCAACGGCACAGAAACCCCGCTGCACCTAGACAGAGGCGTGACTATGCGTCAGATACGATCCCTTCAAGTTCTGGAGACAGTAAATCTAATGGCCGGAGGTACGTCTCGAAACTATTCACGGGATCTTTGGTTATCGTACGACGTTTAGCCGAGAATCCGTGTCAATCTCTCGAAGAATATTACTTCCTAGTTTGCGTCCCGGCGGATCCTCCAAGAAACTTACTATCCCTGCGCGAATACTTTTCACAAACTTAGTCGATTCGCAGATAGAGCACAGGATCGTAGTAAAAATTTTTGTATCGATCTTTATTTACAAGTTATCGATGGAATTATTGTTCGATCGTGTTTACGAGTTCTCGAAAGGGGGATTGTTTATTAGAGACTCTGTGGTGTCGCAGGATATCCGCATCGGATGCGGTTCAAGGCGTTCAACGCGAGGTACAGACTGATCGCGCCGTTCAAGCAGCTGCGTCGCGCCGAGGAGCAAGCCGTGGAGGATACGAAGCTCATTCTTCAAAATGCCCAACAATTAAAGAGCAAATTCGGCGCGAGCACCAGCTGGGCGCTCGGCAAGAGGCACATCTTCCTCAGCGAGGGCATCAGGCAGCAGCTGGAGAACCTCCGATCCGAAACGCGCAGGAGGGCTGCCACCGTCATACAGGTGACGCCATTTTTCAGTTTCTAATTCGACTATAATATCCACAATGCTTGGAAAGGTTATTTTCTTTGGAGCAAACTTGACAAAGTTGCCCACGAAACATTTTAATACAACGTACATATGAATAGCAAAAGAATAAGCGACCATTTTACGGTGCAAGGCGATAGAATCGGATTTAGTAGAGCAAAGGGAAATGTTGCATCGATGTTACGAAACAATGGGATTGCACGTGTGTCATCAGGCTACGTGGAGAGGTTGGAGAGTACGAAGAAGATGGCCGCTGAGGAAGACAACGATAGGCGTGACTTCCGGGATGGGCCAGAAGAAGCACCAGCAGCCGACCTCGACCAACACGGGCACCGTTCAGAGGAACGTGACGGCCGCGACGGGAACCGGAAGCGGAACACGACCGAGGCCGCAGCCGATCGCCGGTACGCCACCGCCGGATCCCTCGGAGAAGTGTGCGGATCAGAAGATGATCCAGCAGACGTGCACCCTCTACGGGCTGGATTTGGTAAGACTCGCATATCCGAGAATTTCCTCCAATCTCGTTTCTTTCAGATTCCTTTATAAATTCAACTTCAACTTTGTTCGCCGTCAAATGGAAGAGGAAGTCTTTGGAACTTTGTTTCAGGAACGACCGCCGCCTGTACCGCCCAGCAGGTCCTACACCGTGACAGGAAACACCAAGCTGGGCTATCCGCAGACGAGGATCATGAAGATGCCTTTCCCAGGTAACGCAATCGGTATTTCCCGTCTCCGCTCGAAATATTTTCGTAACGCGCGATAATCCGTTTTTTCTTTTATCCGATTTTATGTAATCAACTTGGTTTCGGTCGATGAAATTTTACAGGATTAATGCACGACGTTCGGGTATTTACTATTTCGTTATTCAAATCGAAAATCTGCGATAAAATTCACGCGATCGGGGGTTTGAATTGCGCCCCGTTGTTCGAGCGAATTATAATCACCGTTTGCACGGAATAAATTGCAACGGTGCCGGATAGCAGGAAAAATTTTCACGATTCCCCGCGACCGCATATTAAACGGATTTTACGTTTCCTCATTTCCAATTCCCGCGACTACGGTTGTTGTTTCAGAGGAGGGCGAAGGAGAGGTGGTACTGCTGAAAGGTGAGACGGTTCTGGTCGTGGGCGCGTCCCCCAGACGCGGTCACCTCCTGGTGGAGCACAACAACGCAACGTTGCACGTGCCCTATCAGTTCATGGAGCTGAAACCCTGCAATATTAACGTTTGAACGCGTTATTTATTTCCGTGTTGGGTTGATTGTCCGAACGACGCCGTTCCGAGTCCGGCGCCGCGATTCTCGAATCGTAAGATTAATTAAAATTCCGCGAACGGTGTCCGCGAATCGTCCGTGGAAAAAAAATCAGGGGAAACGAGCAGGATCGAAAGTTCCCCAGGACACTGAACTTTGTCTTTTAATTAATTGCACACCGGGCCGTTAAGCGAGTTGGACGCGGAAGTCGCTACAACGGCGCGCTTATCGCTCGTTTGAGACGTTGAACCGCCACCCTCGCCGAGCCACGTTCGTCTTCCATGTAGATAAGTACACGCGCGTCGACGTACATTTTCGAATTAGTAAGCATGTTAGCCGTTAAATACCTACGAGCCTCGAGAAACCAGGGGCGTACCAACCGTGTACACGTCGGCGCCGTTCGGGGGGCTCCTGGCGCGAGCAGCGTCCTTACGGAATAATGAAATCACCCCTAATAACGCCGCACGGGGACAACGCCCCGTAACAGGGGCGCCATATGGACGACCATCCCCTTTTTTAATTGTCTCGAACGGGTCTCGTGTTTTTCCTTCGCGATGGAATAACATTAATTAGAAAATCCTCGCGAGCAGGTGTTCTTAATACAAGCCGCGTCCCTGCTGCTTTCCAAACTAATAAGGATACGCGTTTCATATAACGTATTGTAATTGGAAATTTAGTTTCGCGTATATTTATATATTATGGAGATTCTGCCGTGAATATTTTAATAACTTTCAGAGACTCCGGCGCAAAATCTCCGTGAATATTCTTCGTCGGACCCCCAGACGGAATCAATTGCCATAATTCGCTGCTCGTCCCCGCTGAGCCCCGAACGGTCCCAATCGTGAGAACCCGGGCCCGAAATACGTTTACCTTACGTACACGTATATCTAGAATTACGTGTGTATAGCGTTGGGGTGGCACGCGACGGTACAGTTCCGTGCTCCACCCTAGTCTCCGACGGGGGTTTCGAAGAACCTTCGAGCCAAATGCTTCTTTATTTCCTCTTACTCCTTTTAGTGTATAAATATAATATTTGCCGACGTCCTCGGAGGAGATTTTAACGGCGAGAGAAGAAAGTCGTAGAGAACGAGCTCGATAGTTGGAGAGCGGGACGAGAGTCCCCTCGAGAAGCGTTTCGAGGATTGCCCCCGACGAGAATGGTTCGAAGCCCGGGGGTTAAACGATATTTACCAACAGTATTCTTTCATGTGTCTTTGAATTCTTAGTGCCAATTTCTAGAAGGAAATCTGTCGCTATGACCGCGACGAAACGACCGAGCGTCGAGTTTCCAGCGGCCGTAGATGCGCCAGAAAATAAATAGTTTGGTCGTTTCGTCGTGCATCTGCAAGTGTATTATATTGTCGTAAGGCGTCGTCGACAGTAGGAATAAACGATAGGCCTAATCGATCCATTACTCTATCATTCTATCGCGATAATCATAACGCAACAGTTGCAACAGTGAATCGGTTGAGGTAGACCGCTTTGTAGATACACGGAACTCGTTCGGTTAGAAACGATGCAAGCGTCCATTGAAAACGTTTCGCCCTAGAAACTCTCGAGAGCAGCGTCTCGAGGACTGTACATACGAGTATGTATGCCGACGTTAACGTAGTTTGCAGATACCGGAAGCCGTATGCGTGTAGGTAGCTGTAAGCGCGTCGAGAAGTTCTGGAATAAAGTATAAGCGTTTTTGAGAACGATTCTTCGCGTGCGATGAATTATTACGCCGGCGGATCCTCTCCCCCCCTCGATCATCCTCCTACGTTGCAGCATTTTTGGTAAGTAGGCTGCCACGGTATTTATTTCCGCGAACCCGGGAAAAATATCCGTTTAATGCGCGGGTTTATGGATATTTGCGAATACGTTGCGCCACGAACGTTTCCCGTTTACAGAAAGGAATAAATATTTCTTTTCGTATCTCTGAAACAGAATTTAAAGGGCTGCGGGAACGCTCCGGCTTCGGTCGTTTCGATGTTATCAAACGTACATACCGTTTATGCTCTTACGTGGCTGCGTCGAGAACAGTAACTCGATCACCTCGATTGCTCTAGGTGTTAGCAGACCTGTTCAAATATTTGTTTCGTCCGAGGCAGTTTGATTCGGACGAAACCTGCAACCTGGTTACCGGTACATTTTTATTCCCATTGATTTCTTCGAATTCCGCGTACAGGGCTCGCCTAAATATTCGTACGGTATAAAATGTTTCAATGGAATAAAAACGTTCTTGATCGTTAGCCGCCAACGGGGGTTTAAAGGATGGTCGAACATCCGTTAAAGGTGCACGGTTAATTTAAACGCGAAACGATACGAAACGAGACTGTCCTTTTGCAAGTCGTTACCAAAGGATCCCAAACACGGGGGTAGCTTTCGCGCGCCATATATAGCGAAATAAAAGTCCCCGGTCGGCGGACGTTTATCCAATCAAAAATGTTTGTGGCCGAAGTTAAAGCTTGCCAGGCGATTTTCGAACAGAAACGATCCGAATAAAAACTAATTTTCCCGAAACTGGGGGGTTCTTTCTGGGGACTTCCTGTTTCGTCTGAGTTCCCGTTAATTTAATCTGGTTCGCAGGGATCGCGTAACACGCGTTCCAATGGTTACCGCGGAAGGCAGCCACGGCGTACTTTGACTCGCAGAATCCCAGTCGGGACGCCGAACGACGCCAAGACGTTCTCCCTTGCGGGCAACTGATGGCGTCAAAGGGGCGAAGTTCGTCTCGCCCCGAGTGACTTACTCGCGGCTGGCTGCACGTGCACACGTGGCTCGAGTGCACGTTGCAGCCGCACGCGCCGTTGCACCTTGCGAAATTATGTCGCGTACGAGTTAATAACGCGTTTCGACGTCGTATCGGACGATTCCACGGCCCGGCCGCGAGTTATTAACGCCGTCGACGCTGCCGATTTCGCGGATACGGCTTTAATTAGCTTTTAATTAACATCGTTCGGAAGGGCACGGGCTACCTTTACGCAACACTGACGACTCGCTTCCGCCCGGCGGGGTTTATTTCAGTCGCTTTGATCTTGTTCTAGCGAACAGGAATTCGGTTAATTATTCGACCGACCGACGGGGGCGGAGGACGCATATTTAACGAAGCACGCGTGGCATTTTAAAAGAGTGTCCTTGTAGACTCTATTTGCCGCCGCATCTGCGGGATTCCTCGTTCCGGGATTCACGGTTACGTGAAACTAGGTCTTCGAGAAGATAGTTACGGCAAAGTGCCAAATTATCTATCCTGAAGCTGGAACGTACTTGCAATGTCGCCGTTAACCGATCGATCATTACCCAGATGTTCATCAATTTTCTGTACTTTGTTTCTCCCTTGTTTTGCTAGACGGACTCTTCAGCTATGACAACTTGTGAATCTTGCAGCAGTTCGGGATGCTTAAGTATCACCACAGACGATGTATACGAGTAGACCTTACGTACAATTTTCGGTAAAGAATTTTTTTCTCGAAAGTCCATAGGATTTCGGAGGTATGTGTATTCATAAAAAATGACTGTAATTGACCCCCGGAGCTAAAAATAATTTTTTTACAATGATTTGAAACTTTTCAATTTCGCCGAATAATTTCAGCACAAACTCGAATTTTTTTCTTGGAAGTGCGTAAGATTTCGGGGTTATGTGTATTCACCAAAACTGATTGTAATTGACCCCTGTAACTAAAAATAATTTTTTTAGAACGATTTGAAATTTTTGTTTTTCGGCGAAAAATTTAGGCACATTCTTGAATTTTTTTCTCGAAAGTGGTTAGGATTTCGGGGGTAAGTGTATTCACGAAAAATGACTGTAATTGACCCCCGGAGCTAAAAATAATTTTTTTACAATGATTTGAAACTTTTCAATTTCGCCGAATAATTTCAGTACCTACTCGAATTTTTTTCTTGAAAATGCGTAGGATTTCAGGGATATGTGTATTCACGAAAAATGATTGTAATTGACCCCTCTAACTAAAAACAATTTTTTTAGAACGATTTGAAATTTTTGTTTTTGGCGAAAAATGTAGGCACATTCCTGAATTTTTTTCTCGGTAGTGGTTAGGATTTCGAGGGTAAGTGTATTCACCAAAAATGATTGTAATTGACCTCTTTAACTGAAAATAATTTTTTTAGAACGATTTGAAATTTTTGTTTTTCGGCGAAAAATTTAAGGGGAATAGCTGTACGTATGGTCAGACATTACATTTTCAGTAATGAATTTTTTTCTCAAAAGTGGTTAGGATTTCGAGGGTATGTCTAATGACCAAAAATGATCGTAATCGACCCCCGTAACCAATAATAATTTTTTTAGAACGATTTGAAATTTCGTAATTTCGACGAAAGATTTTGTCTTACCATGGTGCGTAACTCCAAAGATAGCTCATTTTCTCTAATATTAACTTGTATTAGTAGTGTTACCTTACGAATATAGGCTACTCTTTCCATTTCTATTGTATATATTACATGTACAAATATTTGGGGCTGTTTCGAGTACAAAAATCTGTGTCCTTATGGGGTTGAACATTCTGGTAATAATAGATTATAATATTCAGTGTTAAGTTTTATTTCTAGGAATATGTATAATAGTTTACTAGGATAGGATAATAGTAGTAGCAATATTGGAAATAGCTTCAGTAGTCGTAGTAACAGTAAAAATAGTGTAGGAGTAGCAGGAGTTTGGATTTACCGTGATCTACTGTGATCAATCAACGATAAGCATATATCGACATGGAAAAGAAACAGAAGAAGCGTTCGAGTGTCGAATAATTCGCGTGGAGCGTCCGTTTTATCGACCGAACTCGCATTTTTCGCATCCCCGAGACAGCCTCTTGTCTTCCCTGTTCGCGTCACCAATCACATCCCTTCTAGCTCCTTTCCCGGATTTTATTTTCCCGTTGCCCGTCTTTTCCCGTTTCCCATATATCCCGAGGATGTCTGAGAGCCGTGAGGCCGTCCAGCTTGACGCTCCGCGAAAGGAAACGGTGCGCCATTGGCACTCGTTTCCGGGACGCTCGTCGCCACCGTAGGAATGCTCGCCACCCGGAAACGGGGAATAAGAATTCCTGGGTGTCAGTCGCGCGTCGAACACGAGCCTCTCGAGCGCGAGGTATGCGTCAATATACGAAATTTCCCTTGTTTCGTGTCCTCCTGACGTCACTGAGAACCTCGTCTCCGAAGATTGGGTAAGCTGGAGCTGGATAAGGAGACGCCCGGAAAATTGGAAGAATTCGTCGGGCACGACGCAACTCGAGAATCGATTGCGACAGAATTCACCGACAGACGCGAGATATCTGGTCCTGCCGTTGCTCCTTGTAAATAAATAACGATCACTTTTAAATTAGCAAGATCCACACCAAGCAAGAGTTTCCTTGTGCAAAAATTAGTCGAAAGGTGGTAAAGATCCTGGACGTCGAAACCGGGAACTTGGATCGTAAAGATAAAGCGATCGTAAAGTCGAGATAGACATC